AATGGGCAGGTTCATTCATTCACCACAAATCTTTTTACCTCCCATTATTTGCTAAGCATGGTTCTAAGCACTGGAGCTACAGCAGTGAACAAAGCAGACAAAAACCCCTGTGCCGCCCCCCGTCCCCTTGGAGCGTACATTCTAGAGATAAGTGAGCGATATGTTTTACTAAATGCCAAGGAGAAAAATAGTGTGGGTGTGTGTGTATGGAGCGGGGGGTGGCCAGGGAAGGCCTCTGGGAGAACGTGCCTTTTGAGTCAAGGCTTAAAAAGGTGGGGCGGCAAGGCATGAGGCTATCTGGCGGAAAGAACATTCCAGGCAGAGAGGACAGCAAGAGAGAGGACAGCAAGAGGTGGAGCTTGTTTGGTGGCAATGCTCATATCCCCACGTCAGTCCCACCTCTAAGGTCACACAGCCAGTTGAGAGGAGAGAAACAGTAAAAACAAACAAATAAAAAACTGAAAACCACAGAGCCACCAAACCTACCATGAAGCCTGATTTCTGCCTCTTTTTCATCACCACTTCCCCCCACCGTTTTCCGGGGCTGAGCTCCACAATAATAAGAGCTAGTACTTACTGAGCATTTACTGTGTGCCAGGCACTCCTCTGAACCCAAAAAGCCAAACTCCTTGCTGTCAGGTTGATTCTGACTCATCATGACCCCGTAGCTACAGACTAGAACTGCTCCGTAGGGTCCTCATAGCTGTAATATTTACGGAAGCAGATAACCAGGCCTGCCTTCCACAGCGTGACTGCGTAGGTTTGAACCACCAACCTTTCTGTTGATAGCCCGGTACAAACCATTTGTGCCATCCAGAAATGGTACTCTTCTAGGTCTTGATAATTACTAGCTTATTTACTCCTTACAACAGCCCCGCAAAGTGGGAACTATTAATTATCCCCATTTTACAGAAAGGAAGGAGCCCTGGTAACACATTGGTTAAGAACTCAGCTGTTAACTGAAAGGTTGAACCCACCAGCTGCTGCTTGGAAAAAAGACCTGGCACTCTGCTTCTGTAAAGATCACAGCCTTAGAAACCCTTTAGGGAAGTTGGACCCTTTCCTACAGGGTCACTTATATATGGAATTGTGTCCCCCCAAAATAGGTGTTGTGAATCCTAATCTCTATGCCTGTAGTTATAATCTCATTTGGGAATGGATTGTCTTTGTTATGTTAATGAGGCAGGGTTAGTATAGGGTGTGTCCTGAGTCAGTCAGTCTCCTTTTGAGACATAAAAGAAATTAAACAAGCAGTGAAAGAAGCAGAGATGGGGTATGATAGATGCCAAAACACATGGAGATCTCCAAGGGACCCAGAAGCTGAGGAGACAAGGACCTTCCTGCAGAATCAGCAGAGAGAAAGGCTTCCCCCGAGAGCTGGCACTCGGAATTCGAACTTCTAGCCTCCTGAACTGTGAGAAGATAAATTTCTGTTCGTTAAATCAGCCACTTGTATTTCTGTTACAGCAGCACTGGATGACTAAGACCCAGCAAAACAAACTGACTGCCATCGAGTCGATTTCGACTCATAGCGATCCCTCCTTGAGTTTCCCAGGCAGTATCACTACGGAAGGAGAATGCCCCATCTTCAGACAGTCACTATGAATTGGAATTGACTTGATCACAAATTTGATGGGGGGAAACACAGAGAGGTTAAGTAACTTGTCCAGGGTCACACAGCTACTGTCTTTTCTGTCTCCATAATTCCCTGTAGGGTAGTGGGGCCAGTGATGAGACATTTAAACTCAGGAGAACTGAATCCAAATCCCAGCTTGAATAGCAATAAGACCATGGGCAGATCACCCAGCTACTATGTTCCCTTCTCCTGAAAGTGAGGAGTTTAGTGTACTTTCTCTAAGTCTCAGTTTTCTCGTCTATAGAATGGGGTTGGGAGTTGACAGTTGCCCCTGCTCACTGTGGTCATTGTGAGTGTTGAAATGAGATAATGCAGATAAAATGCTTAGTGCTATACTCGGCACAGGAGATCCTGGGTGGCACAAACAGTTAAGCACTCAGCTACTAACCAAAAGGTTGGCAGTTTGAATCCACCCAGAGGAAGACAGGCCTGGTGATCTGCTCCAAAAGATCACAGACATTGAAAACCCTATGCTCTGTTTCCAAAAATAAATGTATGTGATATGAAAAAAGAAAACCCTATGGAACACAGTTCTACTCTGAGATACATAGGTTCTCCATGAGTTGAAATTGATTCAACAGCAACTGTTTTTGTTTGTTTTGTTTTTAATATTTGGTACATAATATGTAATCAATGGCAGCTACAAAAATGATCATGATAATGATTCTGGGTGATCTTTAAGGGCCAGTCCAGCCATTTCTGTGGTTCTAAGGAGCAGACAGGCCTTCTTAGAATCATGGCATGCCACACACAGCTGTGCCTCAGTTACCTGGCCACGTCTGGTTGTGAAGGTTGGCAGACCTGGCCAGGGGGTGAATGGGGGCTGCAATTGAACGTTGGCTTTGCTAACCTGTGCAGGACTCCTGCCTCTAGGAGGAAGAGCCCTTCTAGTTTTCAGAAATGTACTAGATGGGCTAGTGGGAGGGCCCTCCTGGGTGCCATAAACACATCCTTCATCATGGGCATAAGGTGTCATGTAGTCGTCAGGAACACAGACTTTGGAGCCAAACTTCCTGGGGTCAGTTCCCAGCCCTGCTAGCAACTGGTTATATATCTTTGGGCGAGGCTTGGTCTCTCATTTTAAATGGGGCATGCAAATTACTGCTTTGAAAAGTGAGTGGTGCGGGCTCACAATAAGGCAGTACGTGAAAGCCCGACTCCAGGGATCCCAGTGGGCCATGGTGGCTCTTACAGGAGGGAGTGGGAGGCCTTGCATTCTCTCCTTAGTTGTAACCAGAACTGACCACCAGCCAGTGAACAATGTTTGTTCCTCAGGATTCCTGACATATCCTCAGTCCAGCAAATAACGGACTAGTACTTGACCCAGTACCTGGTCTGGGCCTACCGGTTAGGATTATTAAAATTTACAAATCTTATCCCTTTTACCATCTTCCTTCTTCTCATGTGGAGCCCATGGATGGCACAGTTAAGTGCTTGGATTCACCCAGAGGCATCTCAGAAGGGAGGCCTGCTGATCTGTTTCCAAAAGGTCACGGTCATGAAAACGTTGTGGAACAGCTCTACTCCGCACGCATCGGGTCGCTATGAGTCAGAATCGGCACCTGGTTTGATTTTGGTTTTTCTTCTCATCCAGGAGAGGTGCAGCGAGTCTTTTGGGGAGTGTGAGTGGGGTGGTGTGTATGTGTGTGTGTAGGGGTACTTTTAGTCAAGATAATGTGAGTGATAAATGGGAAAGATAACATTTTTGAGGGGTGGGAATTGTATGAGGAACTCCTCATGCAGGAACCCTCTGAGGACGTGTGTGACCCAGGGCACTCAGAAGGATGTCCCCAAAGGGAAGAGAGACCTGGCAGCAGTGGTGGAGGGTGGATGAGAGGGCTGAGAGCTCTGCTCTCAAGTTTGCAGCCCAGTTCTGCAAACAAGCACCACCTGTTATTACCAATTCTATGTGACTTTGTATGTCTCTGGACCTCAGATCTTCAACTGAGAAATGGGGACAGAAGGCCCTGGTGCTGTCCGGAGGGGAGACGGCAGTGAGGTGTTCCCAGTGCAGTGATTGCCACAGCTCACATGTGGGTCACCTGCCATTCCTTCTGGATGAGCCTCCCAGTCCAAAGACTCAAGCCACAAAGTCACAGAGTACAGAGTGGGATCCAAGCCTCCTCCCTCCCGGTCTGGTGGCCCTTCCAGTGCCCTCTGGTGACCGGAGCAAGTGATGCTTGTGGTCCTCGGTGGTCACCTGACATCCAAGCCAAAAACCTCTCTGTGATTCATGGAGGTTGGGGATTTATGGGGAGGTTCTTTCTTAATTTATCTAGCAACATGGTCCAATAAAAAAGGCTGATGTAAATATATTCTGACATTTTTGATACATAAACGAGATCACTGTGATGAAAGACAACATGGAAATATTTTATTTTCTTTGAGCTCCTAAGATTGGGCCAACAGGATTTAGAGTGATGACAGGCATCCCTAGATCTGTGGGGTTGATCTAGCTGGTAAATTGTTTGAGACCGGCAGTCAGAGAATTGGGAATATGCAAATCATCTTGTGGCTGTACTTCTCTGGGCCAGTAGAACAAGGCTTTGCAATATACTGTGTGACCTCCTAGGTCCGATTGGAGGTGGCTAAGCAAATAACCTGACCTAGGCTCCTCCCACACAGGGAGTGGTCAGGGTTTGCAGAGCAGCGGCCCAGCGCCCTCTCTGACCCCCACCTCTGCGCCCACCCCCACTTCCTGGGGTCCTTTCCTCCCCAGCGTCCCTTCCTGGGGACAGTCTCCCAGCTGCCTTCTCTGGGTCCCCTGCCATGGTTTCTGTTTGTCCACAGGAGGAAGAGGCCCAACAGAAGGGACTTGCTGATCTACAAGCCCTTTTGCTCCATGGTGGCTGTGCTGTCAGGTAAGAGGATGTCAGGAGAACTGCAGCCGGGAAATATGGGGCCTAGGGCCACCGGCCAGCAAGGCAGCCATTTTGTCTGGGCTGAAGAGCCCTGTAAAATGGTTATGGGAGTAGTACGGGCTTCTTCTGCCTTCCAATGAAAGAGAAATTTCCATCGCTTATCTCTCTAGTCTGTGACTTTGGAGGTCTTGACCCCTTGACCTTCACTCTGACCTAGGGTATCCTAGGCCTCTTCTAGCTCCATGTTGGACACTGGCCAGACTTGGGTAGCTAAGAGTTAATCCCTGACTCCTGCGACCTGAAATTATTCAGCTTTGCACTAGTCTCGAACTCCTATCATCTGACTCCCTCCCAGTTCACCTCTGCGATCTTAGAGGCCCCTGCCTTCTGCCCAGCCTCTGAGACCCGCCTTAGGCGCCTTCCCTGCCTTCAGGACCTCACCCTTCCCCTAATCTCTACTGGTCCCTTTCTACCCTGTCCTCTTCTCCCCTATCTAGGCTGGCGCCATGCCCCCCCCTGCAGAGGTGACGGATCCGTCCCATGCTCCTGCTGTCCTGCGTCAACTCAATGAGCAGCGGCTCCGTGGGCTTTTCTGTGACGTCACCCTCATAGCCGGAGACACCAAGTTCCCTGCTCACCGGAGCGTCCTGGCTGCTTCTAGTCCCTTCTTCAGAGAGGCCTTGCTTGCTTCAGCCCCACTGCCCCTCCCACCAGTTACTGGGGATTTGGCCCCCAACCCTGCTACCACCACAGCTGCCACCTCTTCCTCCTCATCGTCTTCCTCCTCCTCTCCCCCTCCAGCATCGCCCCCTACTTCATCCCCACCCCGGGTCCTGGAGCTGCCAGGGGTCCCAGCAGCTGCCTTCTCTGATGTTCTCAACTTCATCTATAGTGCACGGCTCGCACTTCCTGGTGGGGGAGGGGACGGGGCAGCTGTGGCAGAGATTGGCGCTCTGGGAAGACGGCTGGGCATCTCCCGCCTGCAGGGCCTTGGGGAGGGAGGCGATGCCTGGGTACCTCCTGCCTCGACACCCATGGCCACCTTACAGCCTGAAGAGGACAGCTTCGGGCCTGGGACTAGGCCTACTGGGGAGTGGGAGGGTGACGGAGCTGAGGCCCAGGCCCCTGACTCACAGCCCACTCTGTCCCGACGGCTCCTCCCCTGTCCCCGATGTGGGAAAAGTTTCATTCATCCCAAGCGCCTGCAGACCCACGAGGCTCAGTGCCGACGAGGGGCCAGCACTCGGGGCTCTGCAGGGCTGGGAGCTGGGGGCGCTGGCCCTGGTGGTCCTGCAGGAGTGGATGCCTCAGCCCTGCCCCCACCAGTGGGCTTCCGAGGTGGCCCTGAGCATGTGGTGAAGGTGGTGGGCGGCCATGTGCTATATGTGTGCGCAGCCTGCGAGCGCTCCTACGTGACCCTGTCCAGCCTGAAGCGACACAGCAACGTGCACTCATGGCGGAGGAAGTACCCCTGCCGCTACTGTGAGAAGGTGTTTGCCCTGGCTGAGTACCGCACCAAGCATGAGGTGTGGCACACTGGGGAGCGCAGGTGAGTGGCCTGGGGCCAAGGGTGGAGGGTGGGCAGGGCAGAGGGGTCAGGGCCTAGAACTTGGGGACCACTAGGACAAGAGACGGAATGCGCTGAGTGTGGGACCTAGAAAGTCATCCTAAGACTGGCCTGCCCACCCACCACCTGCCTACTCACCCACTGGCCCCCAGCCGTCTTTGGCTCACCCATCTGTCTCTCTCTAGCAACCACTTCCTTCAGCTGATGTTTATTGGCACGTGTATGCCCTGGCTTGGTACTTTGGAGAAGGCAGAGAAGGAATCAGAAAGTTGTCCTCATAGGAGAGGACCGTGGCAAGCCAGGCATGTCCACCAATAATTAATGATCATCAGGACAGTGGTTTATGTATCTATAATGTATCCCTGTACTTAAGGCATAGCCCCTGGCTGATGCAAATGGTTAAACATTTGGCTGCTAACCAAGAGGTTGGTGATTCAAGTCTACCTAGAGGCACCTTGGAAGAAAGACTTGGCAATCTACTTCCAAAAAATCAGTCATTCAAAACCCAAAGGAGCACAGTTCTAGTCTGACACACATAGCGTTCCCATGAGTCAGAGTCGACTCAATGGCAACTGGTTTGGTTCATAAGATGTTTCCCCATTCTCTTGTTTGTATTTCAAAAAAAAAAAAATCTTTGTGAGTTAAGTAAGTTGTGTGATTATTCCCAGTGCACAGTTGGAACAGTTGAAACCTAGAGTCTCACAGCTGGTGGGGAACTGAGCTAGGCCTGGTGGCACCTTTCCTGCGGTTGGCAGAGTTAGACAAGCAGCACGGAAGGAGGGAGAACAAATGGCCAGGGCAGTTAGAGGGTTGGATGGCTGGCGGTAGAGGAGACACGGGAGCTGAAGCCCCGGTGTCAGGACCTCTAACTCAAGTGTCTCTTCTTGCCCTGTTTCCTGCTGTTTTGCCTCAGGTATCAGTGCATCTTCTGTTGGGAGACTTTTGTCACTTATTACAATCTGAAGACCCACCAGCGAGCCTTCCATGGCATTAGCCCGGGCCTCCTAGCCAGCGAGAAGACACCCAATGGAGGCTATAAGCCCAAGCTCAATACTCTCAAGCTGTACCGCCTGCTCCCCATGAGGGCAGCCAAGCGACCCTACAAGACCTACAGCCAGGGAGCCCCTGAGCCCCCTCTTTCTCCAGGCTTGGACACAGCAGCCCCTGCAGCAATCCCAGCCAGCCCACCACCTGGGCCCCCACCTGCCCCAGAGCCTGGGCCCCCACCCTCTGTCATCACATTTGCCCACCCAGCCCCCTCTGTCATTGTCCACGGCGGAAGCAGCGGTGGTGGGGCAGCGAGTGGGCCCGGCAGCACAGGAGGGGCCCAGGCTGCCTCAGTCATCACTTACACCGCTCCCCCGCGGCCTCCCAAGAAACGGGAGTACCCGCCGCCTCCCCCTGAGCCTGCAGCCACACCAACCAGCCCAGCCACGGCGGTCAGCCCAGCCATGGCAGCAGGGCCAGCCACAGCCACAGAGGAGGCCAAGGGCCAGAATCCGCGTGCTGGGAGGACTCTGACGTATACAGCCAAGCCAGCGGGTGGAATCGGCGGGAGCGGGGGTCCCCCTGCGGGGCCTGGCCGGGGCCCCTCCCAGCTCCAGGCTCCCCCTCCGCTGTGTCAGATCACTGTGCGCATTGGAGAGGAGGCCATTGTCAAGCGCCGAATCTCAGAAACTGACCTGCGTCCTGGGGAGCTGAGTGGAGAGGACGGAGAGGAGAGTGAGGAGGAGGACGAAGAGGAGGAGGAGGAAGAGGAGGAAGAAGAAGAGGAGGAGGAGTCAAAGGCTGGCGGGGAAGATCAGCTCTGGAGGCCCTACTACTCCTACAAGCCTAAGCGTAAAGCTGGAGGCGCCAGTGGCGGCAGCAGCAGTGGGGGCAACGGGATGTCCAGAGGCCGGCGGCCGCCGCGCTGGAGGCAGAAGCTGGAACGGAGGAGCTGGGAGGAGACCCCAGCAGCCGAGGGCCCAGCAGGGCGAGCCCGCAGTGAGCGGAGGCACCGCTGTGGGGACTGTCCCCAGACATTCGCCACCCTGAGGAAGCTGCGAAAACACCAGGAAGTTCACAGCGGCGGCTCCCACAGCTCCCGGGCTGGACGGAAGCCTTCTAGCCGCTTCACCTGCCTGCATTGCGCCAAAGTGTGCAAGACGGCAGCTGCCCTGAGCCGTCACGGGCAGAGGCATGCTGCTGAGCGGCCCGGGGGCACCCCCACACCTGTCATTGCCTACTCCAAGGGCAGCGCCTGCACCAGACCCGGGGATGTCAAGGAGGAGGCGCCTCAAGAGATGCAAGTCTCCTCATCCAGCGGGGAGGCAGGGGGCGGAGGCGCTGCTGCTGAGGAAGCTTCTGAGACCGCCTCCCTTCAGGACCCTGTCATCTCAGGGGGTGAGGAGCCCCCGGTGGCGGCAGGAGGGGGCAGCTATACCTACCCACCTGTGCAGGAATTCCCACTGGCTCTGATTGGGAGTGGCCGGGAACCTGGCAGTGGCAGGGGAAAGCCTGGGAGTGAGGGGCCGGTGGGGGCTGGGGAGGGGGACCGAATGGAGGGGATGGGGGCTGCCAAAGTAACCTTCTATCCCGAGCCCTACCCACTCGTCTATGGCCCCCAGCTCCTGGCTGCCTACCCTTACAACTTCAGCAACCTGGCTGCTCTACCAGTTGCTCTCAACATGGTCCTACCTGATGAGAAGGGTGGAGGGGCCCTTCCCTTCCTACCAGGGGTCTTTGGCTATGCAGTGAATCCTCAAGCAGCACCCCCTACTCCCCCACCGCAGGCTCCCCCAACTCTTCCTCCCCAAGTTCCCCCTAAGGGAGAAGGAGAAAGGGCAGGGATTGAGAGAACCCAGAAGGGAGATGTGGGGTGAGCTGTGAGCCCAGTCCCCCCTTTCACCAGATGCTACCCTCCCTGAACCCCACCACCACTACTAGCGCCCTGGCCTCCCTGCCCCTTGGGAGCCCCTCCACACTCTTGTGCAGGGACTTGGGGGCCCCTGGAGCACAGGGGTCAGGCTGCTTTGTGTGAGATTGTAGTCTTCCCGTCTCCTGGGAAGGGATCTCGGATGGTTCCCGTCTCAATTCTCCTCCAGGGAATGGCCTCCATGAGGGGCAGGGGCAGCCCCCGGCCCTTCTCCAGCCCTAGGGGCAACTGAGCAATATACTTAGATGACTCTCTCTACTCACGGCCCCCACCAGCTCTGAATGTCTAACCCTGCACCCCTGATTCGTAAACCAAGGGGGAAATCATCTCTCTTACCCAGTGATCCCACCTGGTTCTGAAGCTTTCTCTTCCCCTACGGCCCTGCCCCAGATGCTTTCTAGCACATTCCAGTCTTCTGTTTCTTCTTCCCACTCCCCACCCTCCCCAGGTGAGAGGGTGGTGAGGCCCAGGACCTGGACCAGACCATTGTGATACCTGAACCCCACCTACCTGGAGGCATGGCTTTGGATTCCATTTTCCCCAGGATGGGTTTCTATGTCCCTGTGTTTTTTTTTTTTTTTTTTTTTTTTTCCATGTTAAGATGCCATGCCTTCCTTGGCTTCCATGCCTTTGGATCTTCCATACTCCTGGACTTTGGAGATAGCTTCTCCCAATCCAGGTCAAGGAGGTATTGTGGTTGTGGGGAGGGCTATCTCTCTGTTCCATAGCTGAGCACTTTCCTAGCCCAGGGCAGCACCAATCTTGGCCCTATCTTGACCCCCAAATCCAGTGAGCCCCAGATTCTTCCAAGGCAAAAGAGGTGAACGTATCACACCTCTTCTGCCTCTAAATATGGCCTCTTCTGGGCTAAACCAGATTTGGGAGCCAGGAGGGAGAAGCTCCATATGGAATAGGGAAGAGAATCTACTTGTTCCCTGTTTTTTTCCTGATGGTTTCTCCCAGACTAGACCAAATAGCCAGAAAAATGATGGGGGTTAGATGGGTGGGTGAGCCCAAGATTTGCACATGACCTCCCATCCTTACCTTTACCCCTATCTTCTCCCATGTCACCACCCTCATCAGTCACTCCAGATGGTTTGTGGGGAGCCACCCTACTCCCCTGGTGGGCTTTGGGGTATTCCCACCAACTTACCCTCCAAAATAGCACCTTACACCCCATCCTTGACTCAGTTTCCCACACCCAAAGATCCCAGCCTACGGATGGGGTACAGGGACCCTAAATAGTCCCTAATCCCTAATTTGCACTAGTTGACTCTGGTCAGGGGTCCCTATACTTCCTTCCAGTGGGGGAGATGAAGAAATGTTTGTTCCTACTTCTCTGAAAACTGGGCATCCCCCATCAGTGATTGGATGAACACTTCTACCCTACTCCAGAAAAAAAAAAAAAAAAAAACAGCTCATAAGGGGAGAGCCAGTTCGGTTTTGGGAAGCAAATTTGACAAATGGGAAATAGAGGAGTGCAGTTTAAAAAGGGAAAATGTTGCTGTCATCAAAATGCAGCCTTTTTCCCAGCTACTGTTTTCTGGGGCCAAGATGGCTGCCCTCTGAGCATCTGCTGAAAGGGCAAGATCATGGCTTCTGGAGGGAGGTGAGTTTTGGGGAGGGACAGGAGCATCCTCCTGCCTCTTCCTGCCCTCCCAGCATATAAGGGGGGAGAAGGCCTTCGACAGGCTCCCTGAATGTTAACCATGAAGGAGTGTCGCTCCTTTATTCCCCTCGCTGTCTCTTTGCACTTTTCTTGGTCTTGGCCACAGCCTGAGTGAAGAGTTTCCTACTGAATGTACCAAGTTCCAATTTTTAAGGGGGGAAAAAAGTTTAAAACAGGGGACGATGAAAAAAAAAATCACTAAAAAAGTCCCACAGATCTTGTTTCTGGCACTTTAGAAAAACTGCGAAAAAAATACGTAATAAAGAATACATATATATATATCTACACACAAATTATCTATCTATCTATATCTATATATACAGCGGAACCACAAGAGAGACTGAGGAAGGCCTTGAGGCAGGGAGCAGATGAGAGGACAGTCCCCTTATATCCTTAGCCTGCACTCCTCTGAGGCAAAAAGGCACAGGAAATGGAAGGGGTTGAGGATGGACTAGGGAATTTGAATTTCCGAATGGGTCAGAATTCAAAACCATGGATATTTTGGGAGAATTGAGACTGTAGACTTTTTTTAAAAAAAAAAATAACAAACTATGACTTAGGAAAATTGTTTCCAGAATTTGGTGGTTCTGGGCAACAAAGGAGATTGTGGCAAAGTGGAGATTAAAATATATGTATTTGAGCTGGGGAACTGGGGTATAGTGTGAATTTCAGACGTTGGAAATTTGGGATTTTGCAATTTCGTCTTTTGAAAACTATCAAGTCTTGTCAGTTTGTACTCTTTCCCCATGTTCTCTGGGAAGGGTGATGGCGGAGTGGGAAGGCCACTGGTTCTGTGCCACAGCACACAAGATTTAGAATCCTACAGACTACTCTAGCCCTATACGTAGTGAGGACCCAGATATAGAGAAACTGACCGATATTTATCTCCGCATTTGTGTGTGTGTCCAACTCTCTAGGCCAATAAACCAACAAGACAAATGAACTGTGCTCCGCAGCGGAGTGCCAGGTGCAGTTATTTGGGGGTTGGTGGGCCTCATCCCATGGGGATCCCTGGGAGTTGTAGCCCTATTCTTTCCCTTAGGACAGACTCCAGCATTTGAGTAGATGTGAGGGCCTGTTGACCTTAGCTAGAGGCAGAAACAATAATTGTCTGTGCAGAAAAAGGGCTGGGCCCAAGAGCTCTGTCTTGGAAGGACCAGGCCGTAAAACAAGCCCAGTCGTTTCCCCAAGTTAAAAGGAAATGGGAGACAAGGTTTTGTTTTTCCTTCCCCACTCCTAGCCTGCCCATTGACTTCAATTCCTTATCCCCCCTTTCTTCCCTTGTCTCTTTTCCAGTGGGCAGGTAAAATGAGTGAAAGCTGGTCAGGTGGGTGTGAGTTTTGAGGAATTCTGGTGTAAATTCTTCTACCAGAGCCAGTAACCACTAATTAGCTCTAGCAGGTTACTGCCATTAGGGAACCCAGGCTTGGTGTTACCAAGGTTTTTTAATTTTTTTCAAGAAAATTTAGAAATCCAAATTTCTCTATGAAACACCCCAATTTCAAAAGGTAGCTAACTAACTCAACTTTAAAACATTCACCATGGACCAAGCCAAACACACAAATTGGGACCTCTGAAATACATTGTTAAGTGCTTCTCACATGATCAGACAACCCTAAGGGGAAGATACTATTATTAGTTTAATTTTACAGATAAGAAAACTGAGGTATAAAGCAGTTTCAGTGGCTTGTCCAACATTTGAAAACCAAAGCTAGAACTTGAATGGAAGTCTTAAAAATTTTTTTTTCTTTTCCTCATTACAAGTACATGCTTTCAGAAATAATCTTATTTTTTTTTTATCCTAAGGATAATACTCATCACAAAAGAATAAAGAATAAAGTGCAGACAAGCAAAAGGAAAACATGACTACTAGTCCCAACATGCAAAGATAAGCACTACTAAATTGGTGTATTTCCTTCCAGAATTTTTTTTCCCCAAATTCATTCAAGAAATGTTTGTTAAGCACCTACTGTAGGTAAGGAAAGGAGCTCTGGTGGCATAGTGCCTAAGGTATTTGATTACTAACCAGAAGGATGGTGGTTCAAACCCACCAGCCACTCCATAGAAGGAAGACTGGGCAATTTACTTCTGTAAAGATTTACCACCTCAGAAGCCCAAAGGGGGTCGCTATGAGTCGGAACCAACTCGATGGCAGTGTTTTGTTTTGTTTTGTTTCTAAATAGGTGAGGAAGGAGCTCTGCTGGTTAAAACATTCTGCTTCTAACTGAAAGGTCAGTGGTTCAAACCCACCAGCTTCTCAGAGGGAGAAAGATGGAGGCAGTCTGCTTCTGTAAACATCTACAGCCTTGGAAACCATATGGGGCAGTTCTATTCTGTCCTCTAGGGTCACTATGAGTCAGAATCCACTGTATGGCAGTAGGTTTATAGGTGAAGATCTATGCCAGTTGCTGGGGATATTAAACAAGACACAGTCCTGCCATCATACAGTCTACTTGTTCTTTGATCCATTATGGTGGGGGCCTAGGTGTTGATACCCAAAGAAGCTTCTTTCAAGAACTCAAAAGTAAACCCAAAGCTCCCAACTGTCTCCGACCCACTTCTGCTTCCTCCCCAGGGAGAGAAACGGTGAGAAGGCTGGATTCCTAGTGAAGGAGTTAAGAGGTAGAAATGGGGCTTGACAACACTGCAGAACTGTGAGTTCAGCTTCCTGGGGACCAGGGTCTCAGCTCTCCTGTCCTCAAGGAAAGGGGTCGGGAGGAGGCATGTGGTATGTGGCGTCCAAGAAGATGACGAGGGTACCGACGCTGGTGAAGATGATGAAGGTCCACAAGAAGAGGCGGTCCACTACCATGGCCACAAACTGCCAGTCCTCCTTCAGCTGGGGGTAGGTAGGGGAGACTGTCCTTGAGCTTGGGGTCACAACCCCCAGGGAGGCCTGCCCCACATCCCAGTACCAAGCCAGAATCCTGAGCCAGAATTTGCTCAACTCCCCATCTGAGCAAAGGGCAGGCTGTGGAACAGAACACTGCCAGCCAAGGCTAGCAATAAAGCATGGGGAAGCCGAGAGCGGTATCAAATGAGGAAGACCTCCAATCAGAAACTAAACCGAGGGCTAGGGACCGGGCCTGAGTTTGAGGGTGGAGCCAAGTCACGGAGGTCCTTATGCTGCCCTTACTGGGCTTACCGCGTCGTGGTCCTCCTGCTCTTGTAACTGTTGAGCGATGTAGCTGATGGAATAAACGACCTCCCGTAGCTCAGGAGGCAGGCCCACAGCCCGGTTTGGGCCATCTATAAAGCGCCGCAAGTCCGGGGCAGCCAGTTCAGGCTGAAACCTGGAAGAGTAGTGACTTTGGCCATGCCCTGGGCATAACAGCCTGCCCACGCCAGTGCGCTAAGCCCCACTCCCTCCTCCGACACCCTTCCTGTTCTCAAAACCTGAGAGGGCCCTTCAGACTCGCCCAGCTAGCAGAATTCCACAAAACCTCGCCTGCTTTCCCCAACTCCTTCGACCTCTCTTAAGCTTTAGCCTGCACCGTCCTACAAAGTAGACAATTGAAAGAATACTACAACTCCCATGATGCTCAACAGCATCTTCCGGGAGTATACGCCTCCTGTTTCCGCAGTCTTCTGGGAACTGTAGTTCTTCCTTTCCTTCCTGTAGGGGTAATGGATAGCAAGTCCTACCTGTTGAATTTGTGGAAGAGAAAATCACTCGGTGGCTTCCGAATGAAATATTCATCTGTTCCCCGACCCCAGCCACTTCCTGGGGAATCCCTGAAGGCTAGAGGAGGGGGCTCCAGCATCTGGTCTCTCTCAGGTTTGGGCCTCTTCAGACCCAGGTACCTCGGGAGCTTGTGGATAAAGATCTGCAGACAGAATAAACCAAAAAAACCAAACTCACTGCCATCCAGTCGATCCTGACTCATAGCGACCCCCATTGGGTTTCCGAGGCGGTAAATCTTTATGGAAATAGATTGCCCCATCTTCCTTCCGCAGAGCAGCTGGTGGGTTTGAACCCAATAGGAACATAGTCCTGGAGGGGGCCCTCAACTTTCAGATCAGAAGGTAAAGGACAAATCACCCACTCGCCCCATATGTGCAATCTTGTGCACATGTGAATCCACAGACCTACACAAATAAGGAAATGCCCTAACAGCCTTAAGAGTTAAGTAGGTTGGGTGGGAGGATTGTGACTGGAAACAGAAGTGTGGAGGCCTCACATCGTGATAGTACCCAACTATGAGAATATCTTTCTTCGACTCAGAATGGTTAATATGTATGGGAAAAAAACTATGAGAACCATAAAATTATAATGATAGGAGAATAAAATTAATTATGTCAAGTGATACCTGGACAAAAACCAAATACCAAGATTGGGAGTTAACATAAATTGGGGGTAGAGATCTCTTACCTGTCGAACCCAAAAGGGCATTTGGTGGGTGTGGGGCGAGCGGTGGTGCAGGTTGAGGACTACGACGCTAAGGATGACTGAGAAGGTGACAAGGACCATGGTGAACATGAGGTACTTGATAATGATGGGGACCGAGAGGGAGGTCTCAGGCACTTTGTCTGCCAGCAGCAGCAGGAACACAGTAAGGGTCAGCAGAGCAAAGATTGAGAGCCCCATCTTCTCCCCTTGGGAGTCAGAGAGAAAGGAGGATTAGGCTTTGCCAGCAGGCAATCTCTATGGTCAGATCAGTGACTGTTTCCAGCCCACTCAAGGATAAGCTTTCAGAAAGGTCACTGCATACAAGTGATTCCTACAAATTCAGAGTCTGGACTTCGCCCTCAAACTCCAGAATAATATCTACCTGCCTACTTAACCTCTCGGGGTGGATGTCTAATAATCATCTCAAATTTAACACGTTAAAAACTGCTCCTCTCATAGCTTTCCCCATCTCATAAGTGACAACTCCATCTTTTCCATCTTTCCCTTGGAATCATCTTCCATTCTCCTCTCATCTCTCTCACCCATCTGCGATCCATAACAAATTCTGTTGATTGTGCCTTCAAAATATATCCTGAAACTAATGACTTATCTACCACCCTGGACCAAACCATCATTACCTCAGGTCTGGATTATTATAAAGGCCTCCTATGTGCTCCCCTTCAGACTTCTCAAAGGAACAGCCAAGATGATCTTGTTAAAATGTCAGATCATATCACTCCTTGTCTCAAAACCCTCCAGTGGCTCCTCCTCTACTTCTGCATAGAAGCCAAAATCCTGACTATGATCTACAAGGCCTTCCCATTATCTGTCTGACTTATCTCCTACTGTTTTCCCCTTGCTTACTTCATTCAGGACATTGGCCTCTTTGTTATTTCTTGAACCTGCCAGACACACTCCCACATTAGGGCCTTTTATGCTCATTGTTTCTTTTGCCTGAAACATTCTTCTCCCAGATACTCTCCTGGCTCATTATCTTGCCTCCTCCCAGTCTTTATTCAAATGTTCCCTTTTCAGTGAGGAGTTCGCCAGCCATCCTATTTTTAAAATGTAACCCCTAACTCAATTCTCATCCTCCTCAACACTCTTTCTTAATTTTCCTCCTTAGCACTTGTCCTCTTCTAATATACGATAGTGAAACCTGTGAGAGCCAGAACTCCATGGGACTGCCTTGTCTTCCCAGGTCTCAGAAGTTTTCTGCCTTTGATAGGGTGCAGTCTTACCACTTTTCTATCACTTTCTATTAGTGGAAAAATATTTCAATTTTCCTTCTCTGATAGGTGTCCGCCTTACAGAAGGTTCCAGCTTTCACAGGTTGTATTGTATCTTAAGACTTATTTGTTTACTTACTCTCTTCCTGACTGGAATACAAACTCCATAAGGGCAGGGATTTTTGTCTCTTTTCTTCACTGATGTATTTTTAGTGCCTAGCACATAATAGACACTCAACATGAATAAATGGACCAGCCCTTGTAGCTTTTTCAGGAACTACATAGCAATTTGAATGGTCTAAAAAGGAAATGATATTCAAAGATATGCCAAGGAGCTGATTATTCATGGCTCATACAACAGCCACTACAAACTTCATGGAAGGGATTGAAATAATTTTCATGATCTGTTCTACTTCAGTCCTATAATTTTGGGTTCCAAGATTTACCCTGCTCCTGGAAGAAGTAGGAGGTTACGTTTGGAAGTGAGTTTTAGAGTATACCACTCTCCTTCCCTAAACAGAAAGGATTTGATGCCACCGAGGGGGAAATCATGTTTTGAATACTCAGTTAAAGATACCAGGGCCCTGAAACAGAGTAGCACTGACCATAGCTGGGATGTCAGCACTGCCCCTCTCTAACTGGATACAATCAGGCTAAGTGATTGAAGTTCTCACATCCTCTTTATCCTCCTCTGGAAAATGGAATGACAATGGTGGGAGAGAAAACCTGAGTCCTGATGGGGTCTCTCTGGTTGAAGAGAAAACCTTGCTGGGATTCTAGAAGCACAACCATGATGGCCTAGGTGGGCAAGAAAACCCTGCCTGGATTAAAAGTGAAGAGAAAGGAGCTGAACTGTTGCTGAGGAGAAAGGCTGGGCCCCTTTCCCCCTTACCTGCATCTGGAGGCAGATAGAAGACAAAGATGGCCAGGAGAGTGATGAGGACGCATGGGGCAATGACATTGACCATGTAGAAGAGAGGCTTCCGGCGAATGATGAGATAGAAGGTGACGTCCTGACGCTGTCGTTCCCCGCCTCCCCTAGGATCTCTTACAGGCTGGATAAGTCTAGAGGGTTTATGGATAATCTCCCATTGGCTATTCTCTGGGGAAAGAGAACAAAAGAATGGGACACCGGTTTGGGAGCTGTCCTGACCTGTGCCAGCTGTGGCTTACTGTTCTACATCCTAGTCCTGAAGGGCTTGATGTGAAAAGGGGATAGCTATGGACACTGAGGGAGCTCTGGTAGCGTAGTGCCTAAGGCACTTGACTGCTAACCAGAAGGCTGGCAGTTCAAACCTACCAGCTACTCCTCGGAAGGAAGATGGGGCAATCTACTTCCGTAGTGATACTGCCTGGGAAACCCAAGGAGGGGTCGCTATGAGTCGGGTCCAACTCGAGGGCACATAACAACAACATGGACACTGAGCTGTGCAGCCCATCGCTAATAACCTTGGACAATTCTCAATCTCCATATATGTAAAATGTTGACAGTCATATTCATCTTGCTGACTACACAGAGTTGTATTGGGCATCACTGACACAGTATATTAATCAGCCTGTTAGAAACTGGAAATTATAAGGCCCAGGGATATGAGGGCCATGTCCACTCACCAATGAAGGTGCCTTCGTGAATGTGGATTTCTTGCCGTTCTTGTCCATCAGGACTCAGGCCTGTCCACAGGCTGACCTCTGAGCTGTCGTAGCTGTAGGAACTGAACACCATGGTGCAGTTCTGCCAGTCAAAGGGGAAGTAGGTGACCTGGATGAAAAGGGAAGTCATTAGAGCTGCAAGAGAACTGGTGGGAACTGAGGGAGTTTGGGAGGTCATTGTGGAGGTCACAGAACAGATGGACATCAGACCATATGGGGTACTGGAGAGATTGGGGTCAACAGAGAAGATCACAGGGAAGAGAGGTTACAGGAGAATTGGCAGGTTATTAAGTGAGGTCATTGGGAAAACAGGAGAGGATGGCTGAGGCAGACTGGGAGATCAGTGAAAGTGTACAGAGAAGATGAACTCAAGGAAAAGTCAAGAGAGGAAAATGAGAGGAGGATCAAGAAGGTAATGGAGGAGGGATGGGAGTCACTGGGGAGAAAGGGTCTCAGAGGAGAGGGAGGGTTCGTAAGGTCTCCTTGAGCTTCCCAGGCGTGACCTGGAGACCTGGATGCTGCAGCTGCTGCGATAGAGGCCTGGAGGCTGCCAGCGCACGGAGCCATCAGAGGACACCACGACGTTAATGTCCAGAGCGATGTCAAAATTTCCGTCATTGCTGTAGGGAAGGCAGGTAGGTATCTTGTAGGAAACCAGGCTTTGTCCTGTCGTGGTGGTCCTGCCCCTATGGTGGTCCCGCCTGCTTCCCAGGGTTTGACTAGGGCTTTCCTTACTTGTTCATGAGCACCACGTCGGGTAACCACACGGCTCCAGCAGTGATGCGCAGCGAGTCAATGCTGTCGTACTCTGCGGGGTCCCAGCTCAGCCTGTAGTCAGTCCACTCCTAGGGAAGCAGAAGTTGAGGGAATGCCCAGGGCTGGAGGCTGGGAGGGGACTTGGGGTGCTCTAGGAAAGGCCCACAAGAAAGGAGCAGCTCAGGGCAGGGAGGGGCTGTGACTCAGGAGCTGGACCACCCTCCAAAACAAAACAAAACTGCCACCGAGTCGATTCCGACACAGAGCTACCCTTTAGGACAGAGCAGAACTGCCCCAAAGGGTTTCCAAGGCTGTAAATCACGGAAGCAGACCGCCTCATCTTTCTCCCACTGAACAGCTGGTGGTTTAAACTGAAAGCTTTAACCATTATTACATCACCAAAACTCCTCGCTGAAACTCACATCAGCTAATTACCCCTTCTCCCCCACCAGACCCCAATTTTTTACTCGGTAAAAATAAGGATACTGTACAAGTTAGCCTCTAAAACAATGTTTTTCAAACTGCGGTTCGAGACCCTTAGTAGATTGAGAATCAAATTTGTGGTCCAAAACCTTAGTGCTTAAAAAAAAAAATTAGAGTGAAAAATGCAAGGAATACAATTCCCATAGTACAACTAGGCATTATTTCCTGAAGCTTCTGTTTCAGTTATAAATATGCTTTATGAGATAGTGATATGAAAAGTATTCTGGGCTGGACATTCGAGGAAACTGTAAGGACAGCAGGATGCCCTTCCCACCCCGCGGGGACTCCGTACCAGGTCTAAGTACACCTTTGTGCTCATCTCCTCATCCTTCTCGTTCTGGAAGGGAAAATGCGAAGGGCAGAGGTGAAGTGGGCGGAGGGACAGACATGGAGGAGGCTTGACCTGTCACTCACTCCTTGGAAACTCTGGCACGCCCCTTTTTCTGAGTTTCCCCCTCTTGTACCCAAGGCCAGTCTCTATCTCAGAAATACCCCTTTCTTTGGGAGAGCCTCCCAATCTGTCCATCTATAGTTCTACCTCAGCCCATCTCTCCGCCTGGCTCTCTCAGACCTGCCCACTCTCGTAATTCATTCAGCCCTGCTGTTTTTTTTTTTTTTTTTTTCCTTACTGAGCGTGGCAACGAGCTCTTCCCCAGTCTGGTTGGTAGCTTATCTGGCCCGCCCCACAGCCCTCATTGGTCCCCGGTTCACCTAAAAGCCCGCCCACCACTCTACCCTGCTGCTTCATTGGCCCGTCCAGTAGCCTCTCCCACAGCTTGTCACTGTCCTATTTCAACTCCATCTCCGCTAATGGCTGGTCCAGCTCTCTGCCTGGCCTCGCCCCAGGCTGTCCATCGCTCCTACCAAGCCCAAAGCCACGCCCCTCTGTAAATTGCTGGGCCAGACCTCAACCCCTCGCGGGCAACCTCACCAGACTTATGAGTTGCGCCAGGGAGAGACCAATGCTGACCCGGACGCAGTCTCCCACCTCCTGTGCCGGGCGCACAGAACTGTCATAGCCCGAGAAAAGTTTGTTGCGGAGTCGGCCCTCTGCCTCCGAGCCGTGGGCGCCTGGGGAAGGAGAGGACTAAGTGAAGCTAGGATGTCCGGCGCAACTCTTGCCCCTGTCACTGCTCCCTCGGGGCCCAGATTTACCCGGAGAGAAAGGCGCTCCCAGAGCCCCCAGCAGCAGCAGCAGCGGCGGCAGCAGCGCCATCGGGGTCATAGCCTAGCTGCGGCGCCCCGTGAGTTCGCTCGGTGAGCGGCCAGGACCGCCAGCACAGGGGAAGTGACGAGGCTCCCAGGAATGTGCACCTGTTATTGGGGGCAGCCGCCAGCCCACCCGCCCCGCCCCCGGGGCTTAGTCCCGCCCCGAGCAACTGTTGTTGCACGCCACCCACAGATAACAGACAAAACTTGGTTGTATAAATTATCTTTAATTGAGAAAGCGTGGAGTGGAAACCCGGTCCCCTGAGAGCGTTGCCAGGAGATGGGCGGAGCCTGAGCGACGTTTGTGTGGATGAGGGGGGACATTTATCCCTCGAGCAACAAGCCAAAAGTAGAAAGAGCCTGAGGAAAAGTGACCTGCTTCTGCGCTCTAGCCGCATCTCAGGGCTTCTCAGTCTATTTCCGCCCAGGTCTGAGCCATGGGGTAGTTTTCCTCCTAGTTCATTAGTGGGTAACCCTGCCTTTTCCAGGCCTACCCCTAGCTCTCTAAAATCCAGGTGAGGTTATAAGCTGTAAGGTAGGTAAGCTAATGCAAGGTCTATTCAGTTAGAAGTTCTGGGGGTGAATGAGGTTTAGAGTCCAAGAGGTCCTCACTCTCCTTAGGCTGCCCTATAGGGAGAGGAGTGGGACTTATTGCTGAATTGGGGTCTCATCACTGGGGATCAAAGCTGTGTCTCACTTGTTCTTTTTTTTTTTTTTTCCCAGACCCATTACTCTAAAGACCTCAGCTTTAAAGAGGACCTGGAAGGAATTCCTGCTGAGGTAGCTAAGTGTTCATGTCCCCTCAAAACCCAGGCACAGGTCCCACTATGCCATGGTTTGGCCCCTTCCCCATCTTAGCTTCCCTACTCTGAGTTAGGGATCCTTCCAAAACTCCTCTGCCTCTTCCCAGACTCTGTTCCCCTGGCAGGACCCCAGCAGGGTTCCAAGAGCTAGAAACAACATTTGAAAATAAAGTTAAGATTCTATATGGAAGAATAAATTTTTTTAATTATCTAAGAAAAATAAGAACTAGTACTTAATTCATCCTCTTTATGAATCACAGCTGGGTCCTTTCCAGACCCCAGTCTTAATGGGTATCGCTAGAGAAGGTGGGAAGGTGGATCTAGAACTTACTTTGGAGCAATGCTATGGCTATACAGGCCCTAGTTACATCCTGGGGGAAAGGGCTGAGAGTGGTGGTCTATATCCTAGAGCTGAGATTCAGGAGAAAGTATGGCTCCACATAGGTTTAAACACCATGCTCTAGAACTGGGTTTCTCTGGGATAAGGAGGTTAAGCTTGTGATGATCTGAGACTGGTCCCAGTTCAGGCCAAGGCCACAGCTAGGCAGAGCTCAAATCCAGCCTCCCTCTACTCAGAAACCAGGGGTCTGTCTGGGTCAAGGACAGAATCCTGATGGATTCAGAATAGCCTAGGTTCCAGCACAGAGCACTAGTATAGAAATGGCCCTGGCTGGGATGCCTGGTGTTCTAGAAACTGTCTAGACCAAGGCAGAAGGTGGAGTGGGGATAGAGGGAAACTAATCCTGAGCTTCAATGGAATTATAAATCTATGGCTCAGTGGCAATGAAGAAGGGGTATGGGGCTCCAGGAACTGGTGGAGCCTAGGGTGGGGAGTGTTTAAGCCCCAGCTCTGTGCATTTTGGAAACCACAGTGCCATATCAGGAAAATGTTTTTGCAAGGTGTGGCTATGGAAGGAAAGGAGAGAGTGATCAGCATTTTCAGATTTCTGCACCTCCCTCCTGGATCTGAGGATTTCAGAAGCCCCAAAAGTCACAGCCAGCTCCTAGGCTCCCCCAGGGAAGAGCACCTGGCTGCTCAGGGCATGAGTGTGGAGGGCACGGGTGAGAGCAGGGCCAGGAGCAGGGCTGGAAGACAGGCCATGGTGGTGGCTGGTTCAGTGGGGGTTCAGGGAGTCTCCAGCCCAAGGACTACATTTCAGGGGGCAGGGGGCCTGGAAGGAGAAGTCTCAGGGACACTGTGGAGAGAAGGTTCCCGGTACATGGCCACTGTGAAGGGGAGAGAAAGGAGCAGGAAAGACAGAATTAGGCACAGAGAAATCTAGGCAAGAGTCAGAGTTCTGAAAGGGTTCTCTTCCATTACACACCCTCTGGGAATCCCAAGCCACGGGAGGAGGGCTGCCCAGACCCGCAAAGACCAAAGCCTTTCTCGCTTGACCTGTCATAATAGTGGTCCTTCTGACACATGGATACCTGAGCTGTGTGCCAGTAAAAGTCCATGTCAAGGTCAATACCCTCCCATATGGCCCACCTTTTCTTGAGGCCATACCCACCCTCCAGGAGCTTGGGTACAAAGTGGGCAGCTGCCTTGGTCTTCTTGACTCGGTTTCCCTTCATGACCCGGCCCTCCTTGTCCAGGCCTAGGTACCAGGCCCGGCCAGAACGGCGCTGGCGGTAGAGAGCAGAGGCGTACAAAACATAGTAATTCTCAAAGACGCACTCCTTAAAGCGACACTCAGCTGTGAAATGTGGCTGAGGAGACAAAGACCCAGACAGGCACAGACAGAAAGACAAGCAGACACATCACTGAGCAGAAAGGAGCCCTAGGTAGGAATAAGTTGGGATGTCATCCATGCACTTCCACGGGGGCCCAAATTCTGAGTCCATGCAGGAACTAAGCAAAGGGAGGGCAAAGAGGGGCCCGGTCAGCCCCTGACAGTGAAGAGCCAGACTTTCAGGGGCCAAAAATAAGGAAGTCCCTTCCCTCCACTCCACCCTCCCCTCACTGGTCCCTGTCTTGAAGGACTCTGGAGAAGAGAAGTAATCACAGAGTCTGGAAGAGGTAGAATGATTAGTTGGGGCACTAGAAGGCTGAAGGAGTTGGATTCCCAAAGAATCGGGGTCGGGGAGGCTTGGGGGACTGTGTGCAGAACAGGGAATGGAAGGACCCTAGAGGAGGTGCTCTCGGGTGGCTAGTGATGACAGGCCATCAGTAAAAGCTGAGGGAAGAGGGAGTCCTGGGCTGCAGAATGCTTGTAGTTGAGGAAGACTGTATGCTGGGGGAGTCCTCAGCACCCCAGGCCACTCAGCCTCAGAGTCTCACCGAGCTGTAGAGGAGCCCCTCAGCATTCATGGCCATGTAGTGGCCCAGCTTGGTACTCTGGATGGTGACGACACGGAGCCCCACGGGGATCAGGTTGAAGTGGGCTGGCGGTGGAGAGAGCAGACATGAGCACCCCAGGTTTCTAACCCCCATCTGAGCCCCCCGCCGCCCACCCCAGGTCCACTCCTTCCTTTGGGGGTCAAGAAAACAGACTAAAAGCAATCCAACCTGAAGAGGCAATAGGGTGTCATCTTCTCCCCATACTGCCCCCATCCCTCCCAGTGGCTGGCTCCCCTTCTCACTGAAGGAGCTTGTGTCCTCTGGGGTGCCCTGGATGCTCCCATCGGGGTTCGCCTGGAGGTAGAAACCCTGGCGGCAGAACAGTTTGGTGACGACGCCTTTGAGCTGAGGCTCTGGGGAGAGAGACATTCATCTTTGAAAATGACATCTCTGTTCTCAGAAATAATCTTACACTTGGTGGGATGGGAGGGAATAAAAGGGAATGAAAGGGGAAAATGGGGGGGTTCCAGGGCCCCAACACTCTTAGCCTCCAAGCAAGCACTCTCCAGCTGCCCTGACTTCTGAGCAATCTGGGGTGTGGGTCCTTGCTACTTCCTCTAACCAAGAGGTTTCAGTTTAATTTATTGAAATTTATTTAAATGGCTTAATTCCTACTGTACAGCTCAGTCAGAAGGGGGGAGGGGAGAAGGAGGAAGAGGGAAAGGGAGAGAGCTGTATCTAAAGGGAGAGGAAGGAGGGAGACAAGGCAGGACTGCTGAAAGGGTGGTGTGTTTGTGAAAGTGGGGGGCGGTAAGGTGACCACAGGGTAGGGACTCCCCCTCAGGAGAGGGGGTGGGGCTGGGCCTGACGCTGACTCAGCACCTGCTGCTGCTCGCTTGGCTCTGGCCTCAGCCTGGCCCACAGCCGGCCTGTCTGACACTGACCCATCTGTCAGTCTGTCTGTCTGTCAGTCTGCTGGCTCGCGGGGCCTA